GGGATAAAACCTCCCTATAAAGCCTTTCCTTGATTACAAAGGCAGAGGTTCTTAGTTATCCTGATGCATTAGAATTGTGTACATATCCCAATACAAAGAACATGATCTGCTCACACTTTTCTCACCTCAGTTAACAGTCATCCCCAAATAAACACAAAGACATTCAACAAGTTTTAATCCTTAAGAGCTGCAATCCTAAGACAATTTGTTGGGTGATCAAGCCTCCCTGTGAAGCTCAAGCAATAAAACATTAAGTGTCATAGAGACACAGTTTAAATAAGTTTGATTGAGTGACCTTAAAGAAATAACAATGGTTCATGTAGAAATACCATGAGGTTACAAATCAGGAACAACAGAATGTAGTGTTAAAGAGAAACCAATGAGGGAAAAAATGATACCTGAGGTATGTTTGATGTACTGGGATGCAGAGAAGGAAAAGTTTTTATTAGGCTTTCTTCAAGGGCAAAACTAGGTGCTTCTGCATCTTTACTTGTTTCATCCTGCAATAACAAAACACCAAAAGTGAGTTTTGAAATACTGAAAATTTCTGCACCCATGCAAACAATTACAAAAGGTTGTCAGATTCAAAGATTCAAGGAAATCATATTGGAAGCAATATGAATGTACATAAAGGCACACATAGCGTGCCCATGATGTTCATAGGGAAAATGAGTGACAATTGGCCAAGGGGTGCTGCTGTCATAATTGGTTTATGGAGTGGTAGGAATATAGCAGTAATACAGTACTAACAATGACAGGGCAATCCATAGTTCATATTGAAGTACATTTGGTCCACCCTAACCCAAGACCAGTTACTTGCACTCACATAATACTGAAAAGATAGAATCCGAGCATGGATGCTGAAGCATTCTTCAAAATTTCATAACATCTATTGTCCAAGTATTCCGAATCAACATAAATATAGAATGCAGAGAAAACAGCACCTGTATACTGTCTGGGGGAGTATGAGAATGAGGTTCTACAGCTTTTGCCTCCTTTTCTCCGTGGGATGCACTTGATTGGGTATCCAATTGACTATCCTCGTTCGGCATCAATGCAGTTTCAGGCTCAGCATTTTTAAGACCCCCCTCGGCTGATTCAGCAGCATCTGCATTGTAATCAGCAGATGGCAATCTGCTTTCAGAATATTCTAGTACTGGCTTTTCTGATCCTATCATTGTGCTATCTCCAAGTGTCCCATTCAAGTCATTCGACTTCCCATCAGCATTAGGAGTTAGCACTTTTATTTCTTCGTTATGAGAAGCAACAACTTGGATATTCTGTTCATCTTTATCATCAAAACCAATTTTCGTCGAATTAACATAACTCTTGGGCACTTCACCAAGATATTGATCTAAGTATCCCGCTCGGTAAACAACCAAGGCAGCACCAACAACAATAACCGCACTGCCAATGGCAACTCTTGAAACCCCACTCTTTGATTCAGGCGGAACTCCGGCTGAACCCGGATTTGGAGTAGTATTTTCTCCAGGAGAGGTGCAGAATTGCTTTCTCGAATAAAGAAACGGCGATGAACACTACATATTTTTAACCAAACATTACAAACCGAAGAATTATAAGAAAAAAAAGTACACATGAACTAGAAAATTCATACCGAAAACAGACGAATTTACCTGGGATGTAATCTGCCTTGATATTCTCCGATGAGACCCTCGGTGACGTGATAGTTCCAAAATTGACCTTCGAAGCATGCTGCTGAATTTTCCCTTCTTGCTAGAGTAATTAGGATTTCGAACCTATATAGGGTAAGGTGTTTGCGAATATTACTGAAAGAAGAAGCGGGGGTTTAAACGATTAGTTAGGATGTTGGCATTGAATCTAGGCACGTAAACGAGTCGGGTTGAGCTCGAGTATTGCTGAGTTCGATTCAATTTGAAAACTCGTGGCTCGACTCGAACTCGAAATCTTGAACTGAAGCTCGTGAGCAGTTTGAAAAGGCTCAAATGAAGAAATTTTTTTTAAACTTAACTCGATTGAAGCATCAAACTCGAACTCGAACATGAACCTTAAATGCATAAAAATCTTAATGTATTTTTTTAAAAAAAAACAATACATAAATATTAATATTTTTTTTAAAAAAATATAATCTTATATATTATATTTTCGAGCTGCTCACGATCTTTTCGAGTCGAGTATCAAATAGCTCGTTTTAAGAATTCGAGTTGAGCTCGAGTCGAGTCTATTCAATCCGATTATTTATTGAGCTTGATCGAGTCGATCTCGAGTAACTCACGATCTGTCTCGTCTCATTTACCATCCTAATTGAAACAATTTGTTTTTGGTTACCGACGAACCACGATCGCTTTCCACCCCGATAGCCAAATGGGAATCGCCGTGGGAGCTTGGAGCTTGGAATCCGGAATTGGAAATGCAGTGCAGCGTGATTAAAAAAATGGTAAACTATACAATATATCCCTAGGCTTTAGGTTTAGTATAAATTTTATCACTTAATTTTGACTTTCCGATCAATTGTATTATTGAGAGGTTAAATCATTGATAGAATGATGTTATTAAAAAACAATATTAGCATTATATTAATGTAAAAAAATTAATTTTTATTTTATCTCATCATCTTCTTTATTATCCTTTTTATTTTTAACAATCGTCAAAAGTTATTATTCTATGATATCTTAAACATTGATTAATTCATTTCATCATCTTGTACTATTGTGTTGATTTAGATTTTTTTTAGTTTTTTCAACTCATAAAACTAAACGCAAATTCTATCATTTTTATGGTTTGAGGATTTTCTCAAAATTGAAGTTTTTTAGGGTTTGTTAAAAAAAACAAAAAGTTGAAAATCAACAATTCAAAACTAATCTCATTGGATGATTATCGAATGAGATCAAAGTATTAAATCGGTGAATCTTTAAATAATTATCGATTTTAATTGAATTTCATAAAAATTAATCCAAAAAATAATAAAATGTAAATATTTTAATACTAATCTTGCTATGAATAGATGAATAACTTATAGCGATTGACCATCAATAATGACCCAAAAGTTTAATACCTCAAAACGTGTTAAAGTTTTATATTAAGATTTATATTAAGTCAAAATTTATGAAAAAGAAAACACATTTACATAGTATTTATCCCACAATGATCTAATGATATAATTATATATAAATTTTAGAGTCCGTCTGATTTTATAAAATATAAACTATTTAAAAAAATAGAAAATATTGAAGAAAACATACTTGTTATAAAATTAAAAAACAATTTTTAGAAAATAAAAATAAAAATATGAATTGCCTCCGATGGCGTTACATATAGTTTATGTCTTCCATCTTTCACTTTGGCCAATCATGCCATGCAATCAGCAATCTAAATCCTTTCATGATAGACGTGTTCAATTTTAGCTTCCCAATCTCTCTTTAGCAGGCTCCGTACGTGGTAGGTCTGTCCATATTGTTTCCTATTTGTAGCATATTCATTACCTCTATGTTATCTGTTTCAAAGATCACCATTCGAGCTCCCATGTTCCAAGCTCCATTTCAGTCGCCATAAACTCCCTAGAGTTCAGGTTCCGTTATCGTGCAACATCCAATAAACTTAGAAAATCCGAGTATCCAGTGACCTTTCTCGTTATGAAACACCCCCCACATGATGCATTACCGGTGGACGGATTCATGGCCCCATTAGTATTGAGCTTCAACCAACCCTCGGGTTTTATAGATTTTTAATTTAACTTACACACGTTTAAATCATTATAACAATAATTTTTTTTTGATATGATGGTAAATAAAACCCTCAAACTTTTGTAAAAAAATAATATGATTCCGAGCTCTTTTACCATCAATATAGTCCTTAATTAATTTTTTTAATATTTTTAGCTTTAATGTAATGGATATATTAATAAATTTTATATTTTTAATTTAAATATTTTAGTATTTTTTTAAAAATTAAATAAGTTTCTTAAACCCTATAAAATAATCAATTAAATTCATCTACCGCATCATCGTCTATCAAGTATTGTCACAATATTATCTTGAAATGTCATATCAATATTGTAAATTGCCTTGTAAGTTTGCGAACTGTCATGTAAATGTCATGACGATCAACGTTTGGTTCTGTTGTTCAAAATGTTAGATTAACTTTTTTTTCCTCTAAGGATCACATTTAGTGCAAAAAAATGTTTGGGGACTATACTAATTATTTTTTTCAAAAGTTTGAGGGTCTCAATTATCATTAAACATATATTTTTTGTGACACTTTTGTGTGCTCTGGCTTATAATAATATTTTTGTGTATTTTTAAATTTAATTAATGTACAATATACATTAATATTATATTCTTATTATAAACTAAAATAAATTGTGTTATGGAATTTCTTATCAACTTCATTGTTTTATATTTGTATAACTCACATGTTAAATTTATGTAATGATTTTTTTAGTAATTATAGTTTAATTTAATTTTTTAACAACAATTTTGTTTATTTCTATTTTAAAAATTAGATATCAATATGTTTTTATTATTTTAATTTTAAATTCAAAACTTCATTTATATAATCAATCATATTTTCTAATTTTTTAAAATTAAGATCTATTTTTAAAATAAAAATTTTTTAGAGACAAACGAACCCTAAACTTTTACGTTAAAATTGTATCATTTTAATGTCCAAAAGTTTAAATAGTAGCATGAACCAAGCAACCTTAGTGGTACATGAATTGTTGTTGTTTCTTAAGATACTGGTTTGTGTATCCGGAATTTCAAAGGTGTGAATTTTTAATGTCAAATGATTGCTAGTTATAAAAAATTAAATAATATATTGAATAATTTATATTCAAATATAATTAAATTGTTGGTTGAATCAAGAACCGTATGTAAGAGCAGTTCAGTCTTGATTTCCGTTTCGTATGATATTTATCTAAAGAATCATTGGGCCGTGATTTTCCCTTTTTGGCCCAAGCCCAACCGAGAAACAAGAAGCCACTTTAAACCCTAGTTGGGAAATTATATTTCCAGATTTGTTAGAAGAAACCCTCGGCAGGCGAAAAAGAAAACACTGAAATTATAAACAAAAATGGCGGCCGGCAAGAAAACGGTGAATACCCTTTGTTCTACTCTCTTTTATTTGTTGTTCTGGTTTCGTAATATAATGGAAAAATAAATCGAAATAATATTTTTTTTCGTCTCCCTTTGGATTAACAGAAGAAGACCCATGAAAGCATCAACAACAGGCCGGCTCTCGTAATGAAGAGTGGAAAATACACTCTTGGTTACAAAACAGTGCTTAAGTCTCTCAGGAGCTCCAAAGGTTCTTCACCTTTCTCATTTTGGTTTCTGTATTATTTTTTTTTATCATTTGGAATTGCTCTTTGATTAGAAGGATTTGATTTTTTTAATGAAGAAATTTTGGGTTTTGGTGATATTTGATAGGGAAACTGATTATTATTTCTAACAATTGTCCTCCTCTGAGGAAATCTGAGATTGAGTACTATGCCATTCTTTGTAAAGTTGGGGTGCATCATTATAATGGAAGTGTAAACACTAATTTTTTTCATTTTTGTTTTTATTATTATTATTAAAATTATTATTATTATTATTAATTATTATTATTATATTATAATTATTATTTACAAACAGTTACTGTCGCAACCGTCTTTCGGTTGGGCCCCGGAATTGGGCTTCGACTTGAAAAATTGATTGGAGTCGCCACCGATTATTTATTTAAAAATAAATAGGTTAATCGGATACCTTATACCTTACCTGATCTGCGTCTTACCAAAGATATGTCGGATTCGGGAGTCGGTTACAGCTAAGGAAGGATTAGCACCCTTGAACTGCCCTTTCGGTACTATGTAATTTCCAGTTGTCTTTAATTAAGAAAGTTGTAAATTTAAATTAAAATGTAAAATGACGATCCAAATTACTTACCTTAGATTGCTTAAATTGTACCCTTAGAAGATCAAGACATATATTAGATAAGGAATGCAAATAAAACACCTAAGGTAAAATGGAAAACAAATAAGATGAGGAAAATATAGAATATAAAAATAATGTATATGATGGTAATAATGATAAAGATATAAACAATGGAAAAAATAAAAAGATATATATAATAGTAATAAATAAATAAAAACTAGAAACTAAAATAAATCACCATAATCAAATATGTACATGTAAAATAAAAAAATAATGAAAATAAAATAAGAAAATATATATATATATAACAATAATAGAAAAACTAAAAAAAAAAATTGTAACATAATAGCGTATAAAGTAAAACAAATAAAGTTAATAAAAACATATAATAACATTAATACCATATATATATAATAGCTAAATATAAGAGGGAGGAAAAAAATATAATAATAATAGAAAAAATAAATAATGTAAATAAATATAATAATAAAGAAGTAAAGAAATAGGGTAAAATACAAAATGTGTGTATATATATATATATATAATATAACATATAAGTGAAATAATACTATACTAATAATAAATATATACGAATGTAAAAAAAACTAATAATAATATAAAATATATATAAATATTATAATGTAATATATTAAGATAATTAAAACTAAAATCCAGAGAAAGGATTAAAATGAAAGAACTGCAGGCTAGAGGTCAAAATTCAAAGCAATATTAAGGGTTAATTTCAATTTGGGGGGTGAAATAACTCTTCAACAGATACGAGGGACCAAAAGGGTAGTTTACCCTAATTTATTTAAAAACACGTGGGTCTGATTACATATGCTGAAAAAATTAAGAAAAAAAAAATTATTTGATTCATTTCAAAAGACCCGAGCCATCTCCCTTTCCCTTTTCTCTGCAATGTTCTTGAGCTTCCAAGAACAGAGGCCGTGAGCCGCCTGAGAATGGTGGCCACCGCCTCGCCGCCGCTCATAGGCGATGGTCGACCCTGAAACACGCTTCTTTAAAAACCATCCTCTTCCCACAGCCCAAAAATCCCAGTAGATCTTCTGGAATTTTGCTTTTAAAAAACGCAAATCTGGGAAATAGGTTTCGAAAAGAAAAGCCTCACTTCGTTCATCGGCCGGAAAATGATTTTTGGGGTTCAAAAAAAAAAACCATCAACAATGACATGCAAGCAACAAAAACGACGCAAGGTATGGACTTTACCTTTTGTTCTTCTCAAAACTTAAAAAAGTTTCGATTTTTACTCTGATATTGCCCCTAATTTTGCTCGAAATTTATGCTTTTATTTCGTATCTGAAAAAAAAAATCCCCCCTCACAGTAGAGGTTTACATGCTATTTATAATGTTCAAGCCACCCTATTTTTGGGTATTTGATCCCTAGTTAAAAACTAACATTTGCTATTTGTTTGTTGTTGAACCGAGATGATCGGTTGTGGGTTGTTACTGAAGGATCTTATTGCTTCCCTTGCGCCGGAGAACTCGGACCGTTGGAGAGACGTGCGTGGCGAGGAGTCCTCGGCTGGATGGGTTTGCGGCGCTGATGAGTGAGAAGCTGCTAGGGTTTTCATTGCAGTTGGGTCAGCGTGTGGGTTGTGGCTGTTAAGAGTACGTGGCCGTGAAGACCAGAGTCATGAGTGAGGAAGAGTCCTCACGGGACACGTCGTTGGAGGTTCCTGGAAACGGCGCTGGATTGGGCCACTTCCGTATTGGGCCTGTAACATGTAAATCAAGTGTAATAAAAATAATATGATATGTATACACATAAACCATATATTATAAATAATAACACAAATGCAAATGTAAATGCCATAGAGACGAAAAATATGTGTCGACAGTTACAAACAAAACTGGACCGACCCAGTTACAAACAAAACAGAACCGGCCCAGACCAACCAGAAACTCTAAACATTTGGGGTTTCAGCTAGGGTTTCTAAACCCTAGCCCCCAGCCGCTTCCAAGATTCCAGAAGGACAACCACCGCCTCTGCATAGCCGCCACCTCCACGTTGATGCTTCAGCTGCTGCCACGCCGCCGTTAGTGCCACGCCACCCCATCGAAGCCTCCAGAAGCGCCTCGTCACCACCCAAGTTGCTGCTCTAGGGGTGAGTCACCACATAGTTCGGTGACTCACCGAACTCGACTTTATACCCGGTCCGACGAGAGCCTCATCGAGGCTATAAAGCCATCACCTGCAAGACGAAAAAAAAGTGGAACAACAACAAACAGAAAAAAAAAAAGAGACAGAGAAAGAGATACGAACAACCAGAGCAAGAACTACAGACACGAGAGCAAATCAACACCCAACATCAACCAAATAAAGAAGGAGAAGAGGAAATGAGACTTACCAATAGAACTGCCGTCATCAGAGCCTCCCTACGTCTTTGAAACCGAAAGGTCGAAGGTAAAGAACCTTAGATCTACATATTTTGGTAATGATCTAGGTTAAAATACCCTCGAATTTGGCATTAGGGAAAGCAGGGCTTCGATTTAAGGTATATATGTAATTTTTCGGCCACCATTAACGGTGGCCGACGGTGGAGATCGACACTGGAGTACGGTGTCCGGCGACTGCCGGAATTCCCTCTGGTTAGAGGAAGTTAGAGAGAGGCGAGAGAGTTTTATAAACTCTCTCAGTTAGAGAGAGACGAAGAAGAGAGGAAATGAGGGATGCTGGTTCTTATATACCCCTCCCAAACGACGCCATTTTGGGTAGGGGTATATATGTAATTTCGTGCACGGGTAAAGATGAAAGTCAAGAGGACAGAGAAAGTAACCAGAAACATGAAAGATGTTAGTGCCCACCACAAAGAATTAGAAGCAAGAAAGCTCAGCTTGGTTCCAGATTTGATTATTACCCATGAATTCAAAATGCCTGATTTTGAGAAATATGATGTCACCAGTTGTCCCTTAATCCATTTGAGAATGTTTTGCAGAAAAATGGAAGGATATTTGAGTTCTGATGATCTATTAATTCACTTTTTCCATGATAGTCTTGTTGGCCCAACAGTAGTCTGGTACAATCAGTTGACCCAAGAACAGATCAAGAGATGGGTAGATCTAGCTGATGCATTTTTGAGACAATATCGGTATGTTAAAGGCTTAGCTCCAACACGTATGGATCTTCGAAGAGTAAAGAAGAAAACCAATGAAAAATTTCAAGAATATGCCCTAAGATGGAGAGGAGTGGCAGCACAAGTTCAACCTCCCATGTTAGAAGAAGAGATATCACGTATGTTTCGTGATTCTCTTCCCGCTCCTTTCTGTGAGTTGATGCAGGCAAATCCGACAAAGGAATTCGAGAATCTTGTGACAATTGGAGATTTAATTGAGAATGTAATCAGTGAAGAAAATTCAAAAGTCACATCCAGGAGCCCAACTGATCAGAAAACAAAAGCTGATGATGTAAATGTATGTCGCATCCAGAATCCCCGCAACTGCAAAAGAAAAAGAGCAAGTAACTGTTCGGATCGACCAAAGAAAGTCATGCGATCAAGAAAAACTTTGGAAGTGTTCCAAACTTCCATTTCAGACTTGTATCCTCATTTGGTTAAAGGTTAATACATCACACCAAGACCAACTAAAGTGACACCAAACCCTTATGCTCATAGCTATGATCAAGATAGAGTTTGTAATTTTCACTTGGGGGTATCCGGGCATTCTACAGGCAATTGTAGGCCACTGTTAAAAGAAATTGAGATGCTTGTTGACAAAGGGGTTTTGACACAAGAAATGATCAAGAAATGGGGGGCAAATAAGGATGAGAATCCTGATCCTATTACATACCCAACATTAGAGAAGTAATGAAGCATAATAGATAAATAAGTAGAAGTGTTACCTACCACTATAGTACTTTTCTATTTTCAGTATCTTGTTTGAACTTGTTTTTTTTCCTTTCTCCGCTTTTTGTGCAATAAATAAATTTGTGTTGCTTTTAAGGTTATGAGCATTGAATCAATTTTTGTAAGCTTCCAGTTCTTTGAATATCAACTGGATTAAAAATTCTTCATGATTAGAGTTGTAATCTTTGACAAAATATCAAGATTGAAAACCAAAAAAACAAGGACCCTTGACCTTAACCCAGAAGAAATACACCCAAACACTATCCTATTACAAATATGAGATAGCCTACTCCTATTGAAAGGAATTACAAAAAAGCTTGGTATTTATATATAGGAGCGTACAACATGGAGCATCATTGGTGTATTACATTACAAAACCGACTAGAGTATTTTTCTATTGATGACGTTCGATGATGAACATAAATTTTACAAATAGGTAAATCTAGTTTAAGTCAGTTGCTTGGGAATTAAATTCTAACGAAGAGATTTTCTGAATTCCACCAAAACACCTAGACTATAACAGGTTCTTCTTAACAAGCTTAAGAAATTGGATTTAAATACTCATGTTATATTATTATACAATAAAGCTTGAGTTGTCCCTCTAGAGCAATTGGTTAATCACCCTGGCTTTATGGATAATAGTCAGCTAACCCATTATATTATTATATGCAATAAAACTGTCCCTCTAGAGCAATTGGTTAATCGCCCCGGCTTTATGGATAAGTTTCAATTAGCCTGATAAAGGTGATTATA